CTCACACTCATTAAGGGCATGGCTTTCGTATATTCATAATTTACAATAGCTCTTTTTTTTAAAGCCTTCCACGTCTCCTTCTGTCATCCACTTGCACATTTTCTTTTAAATTTTTTATTTTAAGTACGTTGGTACAAAAACACTTTACTCCCAGTCAAGCTGTTTCCTATGGCTGCCCCGAGAACATTTTCGTTTTGTTTGTAATGGGTTGCTAGTAATAAAGATCCTATAGATACAAACTGAAAGTGGGCCTTTGTTATATTTGTGCAGACACAACACCTTTTGATCCCTTGTGTTAGATGTCTTTTATAGGCTTGAATGACTCAGGTCACTCTTGAATGGATTAAAAAATATTTTCTGAAAATGGTCAGGTACAAGGACTGCAGTGAAAAAACTTGAAAAGCCTGCAGATCTATGGCATAAAACCAGCAAAAAAATAAATAAATCAATAAATAAGAGAAAATGTGTCCCCTTAGAATCAAACTATAAAGAAATTACAGTAAGGATGGCAATCCTTCAGTCCTCAGCCCACACAGGACCAGAGGGGAGCTTTGATTTTCCAAAGAAAAACCTGTAAAGTTAGCACCGCCTGATTCTCCAGCGCAAAACAACCTTTCAGCCACGTTATAGTATACTACTATTCCTTTCAGTTAAATAAAACCTGCAATTACCCCCATTGTTCCCACCACAAAACGAAAACAACGGTCATTGGGCACGCGAAGAAACGACGGCGGAAGTATCCTGACTAAGCTATCTGGCGCAAACCTCTGCTGGCAGAAGTTTGCAACACGCACGCAGATGTCAGTAGCGGAGTTTCTCAATCTGTCACTTTAGCTAGGTGGAGTACATTTGATGGAGGAAGGAAAAAATTGGACACAGCACACTCTGACTTTTTGACCACTGGTGTCAACCGACTTCCGATGAATGCTTCAGGCGATATCGTATCTTTATCACTTCTTAACCGTTACACTTGCTAGTCATTCTGGTTTTATTTGACAGCCGTGGAACTACACCCATGAGCCCTTGTCAGAAGTTACCATGCTAAACAACGTTAGCTGCTGCTGCTGCTACTTCTTCACGTAGCTATGCTTTCTCATCCCGACTCGAAGACTCCTAAAAAACGACCCGTCATTTAACAGAAGCGACTATTTATTTGCACGAATTGCAAACTGAACCTGGATTTGTTGTGCTTCTTTTTTTCCCGTGTGTGAGTTTTCCGTTGTTTGAAAACGAAGCTATCAATCTGTCACAGCAATGGGACTACACCCGCTGGAATTTAGTGAGTGCTATCTGGACAGCCCGAGCTTCAGGGACAAAATAAAGTCACACGAAGCAGAGCTGGACAAAACTAACAGGTTTATCAAAGAGCTGTACAAAGATGGGAAGAACCTCATCAATGCAACCAAGCGTAAGTTTGACGTTTTTAATATTCAAATGGTGCAAGAAAATCAGTGAGTCACAGAAAAATCGAGCACTCAGCACTGATTATGTTATGAGCGAGACTGTTGAGGTTAATTAAAGCTAGGTGTGAGGAATATAATGGACATGTAGAGGAAAAACGTTTTTAGATCTGGTCTGTCAGTTTGGCTCAATTTGTCAACACTTTGCAGTGCCGGGCTTCAGTGCAAATATTTCCTTAGACTTGGGGATGTGTACATGACTGAGAGTCCACTCCCTTCGCAGAGTGTAACGTTTGTGTTTTAATTCATCAAAGTTTGCTCCAGACATATCGCCCGTGTTTTAAAAATAATGCTAATTAAACAAACAGGGGAAAAAAAGATAAAAATTAGCGATGAGACGAATAAAGCTGAGAAATAAGCAAAGACACTCGGGGAAAGCACCTGAAATACAAGAGAAGTGAAAACCGAAAACCTAATAAGAAACCGCAGAGCTTGTAGCATCTCTGTTTATGAGGCACTCGTTAGTAGCTGAAGGGTTATTGTAAGACGAGATAATGTGGGGGAAACAAATGTAAGTTTTTGTTTTATTTTATGGGGAAAGTTTTGAGTCGGTGTGAACCAGTGCTCTGGATTTTTTTTAAATAACACCTTACACTATTTGTTCAGTCACACACCTCAGCTGGGTTAAAAATGATTACATTATCTCCTTGAACTCTAATCTCATGGGCTGGGCTTGTCTGTAGGTTGCCCTGTGCTTAACGCCAGGACTTAAACACTTATAAAACAGGCTGCTTTGCCTTGCTGGAAATGCCATGAATCATTTCTAGTTTCTGACTGTATCTGAAAATAATACCAATCCTATTTTAGTGAACTTTTTTATGCTGATGGGGGCTAAAATTTACCCTCAGGCTTGCTTTATTGTCTGTGTCTGTGCTGCTGGTTAGTGTCAGGTATGACTTTTTTCATGCTGACTACACAGCGCACAAGCACTGCATGAGCAGACTTTGAGGCAAAGGGTTAATATTGTAAAGTATTAGCGTGTCACAAACATAAGATTATAAGTATATGAGTTTGGTTTAGTGTTTCCTACAGCAACAAAATATTTTGACTGATTTTCAAAACTGGCTCTCTGATTTTGAGCTTGATGTTTCTATTTATATCCTAAGCTTTTTTTATTGGAAGGTCAGGGTGTGTGGTATGTGAGATACTTAAGTTTTCTTGCATGTACATGAAAACTGTACTCTTGATGCAAACAGCTTGTGGCGTTAAAGTTATCTTTGCATCTCGTCTTGAGATTCAGTCTTAGCCACACTCTAGCTTACAAAAAAGCCTTTGGCGCTTAAAATATTTTAACCTTTTATGTATTTTTAAATGCGTATGGATTGTCTTTTTATTTTAATTACGTTGCTTTAACATAAAGTTGAGGTGGTGCATTTTTTTAAAAATCTTTTCTTTTGGTTACAAAGGAGCATATTAACTGGTTGTTATGTGGTGTGTGCTTGTTTGTTCATTAGGTCACTTAAATGTGCTTTAATTAGAAAAAATATGTGTGACTCAAAAATATGTATCACATCAAGTTGTTCATGTTGTAGATGTGTATTCTACATGGACTTAAAATCTGCAGTTCATAATTTCCCTTTCTTTTCCCCCAGAAATTTAAAAAAAACTTGTAGATTTACATGCAACAAAACAATTTTCATTTCTTTTTAGTTTTTAAATTTTTTTAACTTGAATTGTTTGTGGTTTAGTAATGATCCAAATACGTAAATAGGAACTTTTAGCAAGCTATTAAATGCATACAGAAAAGTCACCATATTTTGCTTTCTGACTGGGCGGGCCGCGCCCTAAGCCATGTGTGGCTGCATTGAGCGTGAGTTTTTCCCCTCACAACTGAGAGGTTTGCTGGACAAGGGCTCCGCGCACAATAGTGCATTATTTGCACTTTATGTATCAGAAACTATTCAATAAATTACATTTTTGGACACAGTTTTGAGAAATATTTGCAGATAGTAAAGTTTCATGTTGGAAAGTCCATTTTTAAAAATGTTTTTCTTGATTGTGTTATTACTTGGCTGCTTTTTTGTGCACAGCTGGGATTGTCGGCCTGTTTCTTTGCCTTTTTGAATGTTTCCATGGGCTCATTGGAGCTCTTTGCTACTCTGACCCCCCTCATCATAGTGACTCCCTTGACACTTAAACTTTAAAACTTAACAGATAAACTTAAATTCTTTCAATCTGAGTAAAGATCTTAGGAGGATAGTTGTGTACCCTCTAAAAGGACATTTTGGTTAAAGTTGTCTAAACATGTTTCATCTATACAACTGTCACATTGATTGAACATGAGGAAACTGTCCTTATGTTATGTACGTTTAATAATGCCTGCTGTAATTTTTGTGACTTTCTCATGCCTTAGGCCAGAGTTATGGTAAACTGTGGACATGTACACGGACCCCTCAGCTAGGATTTTTACAATGCTACTTTTCAATCCTCTTGGAAAATGGGTCCATAGCTGGTGTCATTACAGTTGAGGGTGTGCAGATATCAATACAGTCACATATGCCTCAGACCTTTGCAGATGCTCAAGGTGAAATGTTGGTAGTATTATTATTTTACTTGCACCAACAAAAAATTTGAATAGCCTCCGCAGTGTTGTGGTGACTCACTGGCAGTTGATGTGATGTTGGTGCACTGCTGTGTTGGTATAAACTGGCACAGTGACATAGTGTCTAGTTTCAGTATGGCATGTGGTATCTTGTATTTAGCATCGTATTTGACTGTAGTTTTTTTGCTTTGATTTAAAGTAGAGTCAGGATGGTAGCATATCACTGCTTTCACTAAGTCTGTGTTGGTGTTTTTAGAAAATGACAAGAAATAGGAAACCCTGGTCATGCTCTCCCAATGGGACTATTGCAAAATCTGTTTCAGGAAGGAAGTGATGGTTATGTTCTGACATTAATGAAGTTTGCTCAGCCTAATTCACTTGGCCTGTGCTGAAGCCTTTAATGGAAACTATTTTGTCAACAAAACTGTTTTTGGTGTATTTTTATCATTCTAATCAGGAGCCATTTACACTATTTGGTAGTGGCAGCAATAGAGCAATTTAAACATTATAGAGCTACTGCAGCAGATTGTTAGACATGGCTTGATTGCTTTAGATGTTATCTAGACTTAAAGCAGAACTTTTTGATTTCTATTTCTATTTTAGGCTGTTCTTTGTGCTGTGCTGAAGGTTAATTTAAAACAAAGCTAGTCTGTCCAGGGTGGAGTAGGATTTCTTCTATTGGTGAACAACAGATGATCAAATTAAGCGTCATCAATTTCAATAATTTATCATTGCCTCAAGTTTGATGGTTGTAGTTCTTTTTTTCTTTTTTGTCTTAAGCAAAAGAATATTTTTGTTGTTAGGATAAAAAAACCAACAACAAGCGCCTGTTTTTATGCGTTGTCGTTAGCAACAGCGACGGTAAAACCATTGCGTGTCCGCTTGTTTATTTTCCACATAAACCTTTCACAATAAAGCTGAAGATCCTGTAGAGACTTTTCAAAATAAACTGAATCACGTGAAAGAGTATGCAGAGTGTTTACGGATGAGAAGCAAAAAAGACCGTCAGGTGCTAAAAAATAAACCTTAGACTCAAACGTTAGAACAGGCTTTTCCCCGCAGCACGCCGTGTAATAAATACTCACAAAGAAAACAGCGGCCGTTACAACTTGTGTCTAAAAATGTATAGTTTCATGCATCGGTTAAAACACTCGACTCCATGTACACGATGCCCAGCTGGAAACACTTCCCGCAAGTCGAGCTGCCCGAGATTCACAGAATTTACAGAAAATGTTCAAGTTTTGTGATTTATATCATTATCGGGACGATAGATGTCTTATATCTTATATCGGGATATGAGATTTTGGTCATATCACACAGCCCTACTCTGCAGCATGTTAAAGTTCATGGCAATACAATTAGGAAAAACATGAACACATTTGGCTTGTTTGGGAGAGTTGGCTGGAGAAAGTGTTTTCTTAGATTTGCAAAGAGGCATCTGAACAAACCCTAAGACTTCTGGAACAATGTCCGTTAGACAGATGAGACCTAAGTAGAAATGTTTGGCCGTAAGATACAACACAATGTTTGATGGAAACCAAGCACACCATGTCAGTACAAACACCTCATACCAACTGTCAAGCACGGTGGTGGAGGGGTATTGATTTGGGCCTGGGCACCTTGCAGTCACTGAGTTGACTACAAACTCCTCTGTATACCAAAGTATTGCAGAATGAAATGAGGCCATCTGTATGACAGCTAAAGATTGGTCCAAATTTAGCTGTCAAACAGATGGCCTCATTTCATTTCAAGGTTGATTCAAATTGGGTTATGCCAAGCACAACGGTTAATCTGCAACAGAATGGCTGAAAAAGAATAAAATCAGATTGTTGCAATGGCCAAGTCCTACACCTGAACTTGAATGAAATGGTGTGGTGGGACATTAAGAGAGATGTGCATTTACAAATGTCCACAAACCTTAATGTGCACAGTCTTAAAAGTCTATCTTACAATGATGTAAGAGACTGATGGCCATACAGAAAATGGTTACTTCAAGATATTGTTGCCAAGGATGGTTGTACAAGCTAAACTCATAACATTTAGAATAGAATAGAATTCAACTTTATTGTCATTGCACATGCACAGGGCAACGAAATGCAGTTTGCATCCATCCAGAAGTGCTTTAGCCATGATATAGATATATTACAATTTAATGAGTTTTAAGTAAACCTCACAATTCATATAGTCCTTTCAGGTTTCTGTCAAACTGTAAGTATGTGTCTGTTTAGTATAACTGAAAAAATTAATTAAATTATTGCAATTAATTGTAATTTAATGGGTTGTTATTGTAATGTCAGAACTGTCAGCTCAATAACTGAAGTTAGTAGAGTTTGGTGGCCTAAAATGGATTGGAAGCTCTACAGATAATTTTCTACAAATATTCTGATTCTTAAAATAGAATAATAG